TAAGTATATTTTCAGAAATCTTATTGCGTTGTGATGGTGAATATATGAAGGAGATACCTTGTGAGAACGAGCCTACTCAAGAGGATGAGCATCCACAGAGAGAGCTTTCCGTTGTTCAAGAGGACTCTGATTCAACTGAGATGATTGAAAATAAGGCCGTGGTTGAGTGTGAAGCAACAAAAAAAGAGTTCAAACCCCCATCCACCTTTCCACATTTGCAACCTTGAGTAGAAGTGAATGAGAAACAAATGGTCTTGGACATACCAGAGGAATATTCACTTGACCTTTCTTCTGTATTTTTTTATTCTAACCTTGATCATGTGAATTTTATTTTTGGGGATTTACAGGAATATGTATGGATTGATCCTGTGAAAGAATGCAGAAACAAGTTAAGGATTATCATGAACAAGCAATTCATCATTTAAGATGAGGACAAGAAAGAAAGAAAAGAGCGGATCTTGCAGGTATCCTTAGAAGAATTGGGCTTAATGAGCTCCACAAAAAATCCCAAAGAGCAAAAACGAGGAATGAATTCAGAATTAGGGATGGAGTTCATAAGTTCTCGAAAAATAAGAAAGCTCAGGAAAGTTTTCTTTATCTTATGCTTTTTAATTGTGTGTCATCGGAACATGTCACAACTTAAAGTGTGGGGTGGGAGATATTTGTATGTATGTATATTAGTTTTAGTTTTCTTTTTGTTAGTTGTAGTAGTTAGAGATAGAAAATAATTGAAAAAAATCATAAAAAAATGAATTTTTTTGATTTTTCCCGACGATGGATATCATTCGACAGGTTTCTTGAGGGATTGAAGTCGAAAGAAGAAGACAAAAATATTTTCTTTTGTTAGGTAGTGTAACAAGTTTCCCTTGATTTTTCTTTGTGTCACAGTTCTTTTCCAATGGTTTTGTTTGAACTGGGTGTAGTTTGTTTTAATTTTTTAGGAGTAGGAAACCTTGTGCCATGATTTGAAGTGAAGGCAATATCTCATGACTTTATTATACCTTGCAAATAGTGTGATTGCTTTAGTGTGACGCTTAGGCTAAGTTTTTGACTCTTTTATAAGTACCTTAAATTGCATGATCTTAACTTTGCTTAACTGCTTTGACTAGAGTGTCTTGATAGTCTGATCTTGAGTAAGTTATGTACCATGTGGATGTGAGGTTTTGTGTTATTCTGTGCACTGCATTTGATATCTAGAACTTACCCTGTGTGTTTGCAAAGCAAAATAGTAGTTTTATTCAGTCTTGGAAGTGATTTAGGCATTTTTTTGTTGAGCTAGTTATAAGCTTTTACCCACCTAATTGTTATGTATCGTAGTTAACCCCCTTGAGCTTGTAATCTTGTTTCCTTGGAAACCACATTACAAGCCCAACCCATGTGTTTGAATTGACCATCTATTTGAACCATTTACCTCTCGTGAGCACTTGAATTTGTTATGAACTTTGTAAAAGTTGAAGTGTGGGGTGGTTGGTTTGGATTTTGAGTGGAACTATTGAAATAAGGTAGAAGGTGCATTGTTTTGAAAAATAAGAACCACTTGAATTGAAAAAGAAAAGAAAAAATAAGTGTATTATTGTGAAAAATGTTCTTTGATAGTGATAACTTGATGTAATTGTGCTTAAAAAAGTAGGGAGTTATTGTGTATTGATGTGAAGGTGGAGTTTTGGTTTGAGATAAGTGTGGGGTTTTGAACAATGAAACGTATGTATTAAAGTGTTTAGGGAGGTGTAGTCACTCTTATATCTAAATGTATCCTACCCACATCACAGCCTACATTACAACCAATTAAAGTTCTACTTGATCCTTGAATGAATGAGCTCAATTAGTAGAGTAGTACACTACGAACAAGCCTATGGTACGTCTTTTGTGGCATATGAATGTTGTTTCTGAGAGTGAGTGAATTCTTTCTATCTTTAGTTTCAAATTGTTCTTAATTTTTATTGTGTGTGGAACTACTCTCTATTGTTGTGTGAGTGCACCTAATTCATAAAGCAAAGGTAATGCTTGACCTCTATGTTAGAGTAAGTGAGCGGGTTATAAAAATGCATGGTGCTTTTGAGTCAAATATTGAGGCTAGGATGTTACGGTATTGTGGTTAATCTGTTTTAAATATTCTTGGTGTGATGAGTTGTGAGAGTTATTGAAAAAGGTCGTGTCTATATAAAAGTGTAGTTTGATTGCTCGAGGACGAGCATTGGTTTAAGTATGGGGTGTTGATGGTAGGCTATAATTACATATTTCGTCTAGGCCTAACCCTACTTGGTATAAATACATGGAAAAACGCTAGTTTCTGGACTTTTGACACATATTTGACCTAAGGAGTCTAAGGAAGAGTTCGAAGACCACAAGCACAAGGATTTCATCATTCCTTCCTCACTCAAAACCCGAGTTTGGATTGAATTTATGTTTTCCTATACTTTAACTTTATTTGTGATGAAATGCTCCATATCTATGGAGTAGTTCTCTTTAGGGTTTGATGGACTTGGCGTATTGATGATTGTTTGTGGATTATAACTCAAGTTTTATGTATTGAAGCATTTTTGGATGATTTAGCTGTTGTATCTATATTCACTTGTTCATGTAATCGAGAGAGACATAACTTATGATATCTTTGTATTATATTGTTGGTTGAGTTTATTAATTCTTCTTAGTAATTGAAAGAGGCTAGTTGAATCTTTGATTAAACCTAGTTAGGAGAATAAGCAAAAGAATTTTCCTAAAGACCAATCCACTACGCATTCTTGCATATCTTCACGTGCTTAAATTGGTTCATCTTGTGAGGTTAAGACTTAATCGAGATAGAAGTTTTTACTGAACGTTTGAACTGATAATTGTGTGAATTCGAGAGACTCACTTAAACATTAGAAGTTAATTATCTAGAGTTAGATCCCAAACAATTATCCTGCACTTATCCTATTAACCCCTATTTTATCCCACTGATAACTTCCTTGCTTATCCATGTTTCAATTGTCATTAGTCAATAGCTTTAGACTCTCAGTTAATTTTAGTTAGAAACTATATAAATCTCAATTGTTGATCATCTTGGATAGCGATCAAGCTAGAAACTACGAGAATATTATTTAAATCTAATCCCTGTGGATACGATATTATACTATACTATATTTGATTAGCGAACATAATTTAGGTGCGTGATTCGAGCTTGTCATATACATACCTGAACCAGAAGGTAACACTAACACCAGTGTGGTAGTCAATGCGGTCTTGAGCTTATTAAAGCTTGCCTCGCAATCATCGGACCATCGCAATGGAGCACTGATATTTAGCTTAAAGTATATATATTTATATGTATATCGCCTCATGTTTTAATCGTGTTTCGTGGATTTCGAATGTAAAATATATTGCTTTATGTTAATTCGTGGTATTTTTATATGTAGGAATCATCCGAAAGTAATTGGGGGCGAAAGGTGCGAGATTAGAGTCAAAACGAAGGAAAAATGAGAAATGTGGAATTTCAGCACAACATGCAGTGCCCCATGCCACTTGTGGCGCTGTGGGTAGGATCTACAGCAAGCCAACGCCAGGGCCAGCGAATTGGCTCGACTGAATAACAATCTTGGTGAATTTAGTGGGTAGTTAATACAAGTCTCTATGGGTTCGAGACTCAACTTATCATTTTATTACTTGTACGACCACGTATACTCACGTATGCGTTTAGGAGCAACAAGTTTTTGGCGTCGTTGCCGGGGACTTGAATATTGACTACTTTCTAGTTTTAGCTATAATTGTTTATTTCGTCAAGTCTAACGTTACTTTATTATTGATCTATTCTTAGGAACCTTGATTGAATTCGAAGGGTCAGAAGCCAGGACAGACTTCAAGGCTTTGACCCCGAACCTGAGAGAACATTTCATATGAGGTTGAGGGAAGCAAGGGACACAAATAATCTTCAGGAACTCGTTCAATTTCCTGTGAAAATGGTAGAGGAGCAATATATGGCTGTTCAGGAGGTGGCGATGCCCAGCATTGCTAATGTCACCTCCAACATTGTGAAGCCTAGAATCACTGAGCACTTTGAGTTGAAACAGAGCATGATCCAGCTACTTCATGCGAATGGGCAGTTTATGGGTCTTCCACATGAGGATCCACAACAACATATCCTAAGCTTCTAGGAGATTAGTGATACTTACATCACTAACAGAGTCACTCCATACTATGTGAGGCTCACACTTTTTCCATTCTCTCTGTTGGGCGAAGCAAAGCGATGGATAAAGGCAGAACCAGCTAATTGTATTACATCATGGAATGATGTTGCAAGGAAAATTTTGGCAAGGTTCTTCCCTTCAGGAAAAACTGCAAAGATTAGAAGTGTGATAGTCGCCTTCAAACAGAAAGCGGGGGAGTCTTTATATTCAGCTTGGGAGAGTTTCAAGGGGCTGCTCAGAGACTGTCCTCATCACAATACAAACGAAGTGTTAGCTCCCACTTTCATAGAAGGGCTACATCCAGAGACAAAGATTGTGGTAGATGCTGCAACTGGAGGTCAAGTATTGGAGAAAAGCTTTGATGAGATATATATGTTACTGAACATATTCTCCAAAAGCAATCCTGATTGGCAAGAAGAGATGGGCAGACACACAATGCAAAAATCTATAGGGGTTCTCTAGTTAGATGTCATCTCTGCATTATTAGCACAGATTTCAATATTGACCAACCAAGTCAATCAGATTAACTTGGTTATTAATAAGCAACAAGCCCATCCAGTGCAACAGGTTCAATTGTTTTGTGAAGTATGTGGAGAGGGTCATACGAGCGACTTATGCCCAGTTAATCTAGAATCTGTCTGTTTTGTGGGTTATGCAAATAGGGGCCAGACAAACCAGTATGGGAACACTTCCAATCCTAACTGGAGGAACCACCCAAACTTCTCTTAGGGTGGAAACCAAGGTGCTCAGAATCAGTATAGGCCACAAGCACCTCAACAAAAATATAGACTACCTCAGTTTGAACAACATGCAAACTCGACGAGTCACCTTGAGAAAATGGTGAAGAAATTTATGGTTGACCAGCAGGCCCAAACAGTAGAGATGATGAAGAAAGTAATGGATAACCAGCAGGCCCAAGTAGCAGCAATGAGAAATTTGGAGCGACAAATGGGACAACTTGCCAGTGCCCAAAATACTTGACCAGTTAGAGGTCTTCCAAGAGGCACTGAGGCTAATCCTAAGGCATCTATTAATGATGTGTAATTGAGGAATGGGAGACAATTATAAGAAGTCCAGTCGAAAAAGATAAAACAAGTGACCTTTAATGAGAAGACGACCACCGTAGAGGCAGAATTAGGAAAATTAAAGGAGTCAAAGAAGCTAGCTGAAGAGGCGGTGGCTAAGCAACCCCCACAAATAGTTGCGAGGCCACCACCTCCGTTCCCTCAAAGATTGCTGAAAGTGAAGGTTAATGTCGCGTATAAAAAGTTTCTTGATATTTTGAAGCAAGTGCAAATCAATATTTCACTGGCAGACATCCTGCAAGAAATGCCCCAATATGCTAAATACATCAAGGACATAGTGGCAAATAAAATGGGGTTGACCGAATTCGAGACTGTGGCACTCACTGAGGAATGTAGCTCAAGAATTCAAAGCAAGCTATGTGAGAAATTGAAGGATTCGGGTAGTTTCACTATCCAAATCTCGATTGGTAAGGATGAAATCGGGCGAGCGTTGTGTGATATTGGAGCGAGCATCAATTTGATGCCGCTATCTGTGTTCAGACAGTTGGGGTTGGGTGAGCCGTGACCAACAACAATAATCTTACTGTTGGGTGATCGCTCTCTTGCTCATCCTGAAGGAGTGATTGAAGATGTGTTAGTTCTAGTGGGTTCTTTCATTTTCCCTACTCATTTCATTATCTTGGACTACGAGCCTGATCAGGAAGTTCTATTTATTTTAGGGCATCCATTCTTAGCCACAGGCCGAGCTATTATTGATGTATGCAAAGGAAAGATGACGATGGGAGTAGGTGATTGAGTGGAGGTATTCAATATGTATAAAGCACTCAGATTGCCAGCCCATTATGAAGAGCTATCCATGATTTCTGTTGTGGAAAGTGATGCTACGTCATTGGTGCATTATATGAGCCCTATAGATCCTCTTGAACGAGCTTTGATTGGGGATGAAGAAGACAGTGAAAATGAGATGATGGGAGAAATTGAGCAAGTACTTGAAATGTCTTGTAGTTATGTCCATGGGTTTGGGATATTTGAGGAGTTGGACAGGCCTGTCACTCTGACCCCTCCTAAGCCATCTATTGAAGAAGCTCCAAAGCTAGAACTTAAGCCCCTTCCAGCACATCTGTGCTATGCTTGTTTGGGGAACTCTGAGACATTGCGAGTGATTATCTCATCCAGCTTGACTAATTTACAAGAAGAAAAATTACTCAGAGTACTTTGTGAGCACAAAAAGGCTATAGGGTGCACAATTACTAACATCAAGGGAATCAATCCATCGTTTTGCATGCATAAAATCTTTCTGGAAGATGGACACCTCCTCAGTGTTGAGCAGCAAAGGAGATTAAATACCATTATGAAAGAAGTCATGAAGAAGGAAGTGATTAAGTGGCTGGATGCATGCATCCTCTTTCCTATCTTTGATAGCAACTGGGTAAGCCCAGTGCAATGTATGCCTAAAAAGGGGGAATGACTGTGGTTAAGAATGAGAAAAATGAGCTAATTCCTACTGGCACTGTGACGGGGTGGAGAGTTTGCATTGATTATAGAAGGCTCAACAAAGAAACCCGCAAGGACCACTTCCCACTTCCATTCATTGACCAAATGTTGGACAGATTAGCTGGGCATGAATATTATTGCTTTCTTGATGGTCATTCGGGGTACAACCAGATTTTCATATGCCTAGAGGATCAGGAGAAGACCACTTTTACTTGTCCTTATGGCACTTTCACCTTCAAGCGAATGCCGTTTGGTCTTTGTAACGCACCGACCACTTTCTAGAGATGCATGATGGCTATTTTCACCGATATGGTAGATATATTTGTGGAAGTCTTTATGGATGATTTTTCAGTCTTTGGGTCTTCTTATGATGACTGTTTGAAGAATTTGAGCAAGGTGTTAGCTCGTTGTAAAGAAACAAATCTAGTGTTCAATTGGGAAAAGTGCCATTTTATGGTGCAAGAAGGCATCGTGTTGGGTCACAGAGAGTCAAGGAGCGGCATTGAAGTTGATAAGGCGAAGGTGGAGGCGGTTTAAAAATTACCTCCACCTATTTCTGTGAAGGGTGTCTGGAGTTTCTAGGGACACGCGGGATTCTATCGACGCTTTATTAAGGATTTCTCAAAAATTGCTACTCCTTTGTGCAGGTTGCTTGAAAAGGATGGAACTTTCAATTTTGATGACGCCTTCCTGAAGGAATTTCAAGATCTCAAAAAGCAATTGGTGGCTGCCCCCATTTTGCGGCACCAGAGTGGTCCTTACCATTTGAACTTATGTGTGATGCAAGTGACCATGCTATTGGGGCAGTGTCAGGACAGAGGAAGGACAAGATATTTTATTCCATCTACTATGCAAGTAAGACTCTTGATGATGCACAACTGAATTACACCACCACTGAAAAGGAGTTGTTGGCCATTGTGTGGGCCTTTGAGAAATTTTGGGCATACTTGGTGGGAACAAAAGTCATAGTCCACACCGATCATACAAAAATCAGGTATCTATTTACAAAAAAGGAATCCAAGGCTAGATTGATGCACTGGGTTTTGTTGTTGCAGGAATTTGATGTAGAAATACGAGATCAAAAGGGCACAGAGAACCAAGTAGTTGACCATCTATCAAGGCTGGAAAATCACGACCACGTGGAGGAGGGTGGACAAATTAAAGAGGCATTTCCTGATGAGCAACTTTTTACTATCACCCAAGACCCTCCTCCATGGTACACAGACTATGTGAATTATCTTGTGAGTGGGGTATTTCCTCCTGAAATTGAATCTGAAGCTAGAAAGAGGTTTCTACATGATGTGAACTTCTACTACTGAGATGATCCATACTTGTACAAGCAGTGTGTGGATCAGTTGATGAGGAGATGTATTCTAGAAAAGGAGGTGGAATTAGTGTTGTATGGTTGTCATGCATCACCTTATGAGGGACATCATGCGGGCGATAGGACAACTGTAAAGATATTACAATCTAGGTTCTTTTGGACAACATTATTCAAGGATGCCCATACATTTGTTAAGAAGTGTGACCAGTGTCAAAGAATAGGAACAATCATAAAGAGGCATGAGATGCCTTTGAATAACATCCCGGAGGTTGAGAATTTTGATGTGTAGGGGATAGATTTTATGGGACCATTCCTAGTGTCCATAGGAAACAAATACATCTTGCTAGCAGTTGACTACGTGTCAAAATAGGTAGAGGCGGTCGCTGTTACACCCTATATTTTCGTATGTAAAAATGCGTCGTAAGTAAACTAATGTAGGACAAA